AAGACAAAATATAAATTACAAATAAGAGAAAATATGACATAACAGACAACGTACTCCCACACCCGCCCTCTTCTGGCCCGTCTATCTTCGTTTGCTCTGGTTGACTCCATTCTATATCCTCTGCGAAGAGTCACTACACAACGGGAGAGGACTACGGAGGAAGGCACGATGTTGTACGAGTGATCGGGGCGGTTTACTAGCGTTCTCAACACTTGCTGTGTTCATAAAGAAATTTGGCAAGAGTTTCACTAGAAACTGAGAGGAACATTGAGTATAATGAGGCCTGCAAGTCGATATAGCTAGAATGGCATTGCAACACCTAGCAAGCCCTCTGCAGGGCAAACTCTGCCAGCGCAGCATAAGAGCGGCTTGCCAACGCTGCAGTAGAGTAGTTATGCCATCGTTGCACCGCAGCGGTCTGCTAGCGCTGCAGAGGCAGGTGAACATAAGCGCATGTGCGCACCTACCAAGTAGGTGTAGATAGACGGTCGTATCGCCAGGCACATTGCGCAGGTACCAGGTAGAACACGTGTCGACGGTTCTGCCAGCCGTGCACTGTCGAGAACGTGATGCCGTTCTGCAGGTTGACTTGGCGAAAACCTCCTGAGGCGAAGTTCGCGCTTATCTACGACCTTCGCAATCAAGCAGCTTCGGTCGGCTGGTTGGACGCTACTCCGTCGATCAGCATTCGGCTAGTTCGCGCAGAGCTCGTCGACGGACTCATTGCTCAGAGCCTCTCGACAAACTCGTCGCGCAGAGCCTCTTGACGGACTCGCACAGAGCCTCTCGACGGACTCGTCACGCAGAACCTCTTGACGGACTCGTCGACGACCGCTGTCGTTGATCAGCGACTTTCGTAGAGGGTGTCAACCAAATCCTGTCAAGCACGACCTGCTCGACCATCACCTCAGTCGACGAGCAGAAGCCTACTCGACGACCACTTCGTCGAGTGACTATGCGTCGACGGCGAGATCGGCTGCGCCCAAGCGAGGGTGGGGCCTTTCTTTTTGACACTCCCCTATCCAGTTCACGCTTGGGCACCCACATACAAGGTCCACACAGAACCCAGAGGGATAGAGTGCATGGGGGATACAGCTTCGGCGTGCAGACTACACACAGCACGCCATTCACCGCACCAGCCATGCAAAAAAGGCATGGCACCTACTGCTGCACGTCGTCATCACCGTCGCCGACGTCGGCCAGACGCACTTAGCCGATTGCAACAGAGAACCGGTTGAAAGCCGGAAAATGCAGCGCCTTCATCAGAAAGTCGGCCGGCTGTTCGATGGTCGGGATGTACTTTAGAGAAATCTTCCTGCGCTTCACCATCAGCTGCAGCCAGGGGTAGCGTCGCTCCATGTGCTTGAGGTTGCCCTTGAGCCCGTGAAAGTGGTGGAGCAACACTCGTATGGTCAAGACGGTGGAACACAACGCTTGGTTCAATTGCCACGCCCATCCACCATACCTACCCTTTTCGACCCGTCTCCACGCGAGTACATGGAAGAAGACAAAGACCGACTGTCACGCAAGATGGTGGGAGCAACGGTGGACAAAGCGTTCACAACCACTCCACTCGATGGCACCAACTTTCGCGAATGGGCGCTTCGGTTCCGCATGAGCGCGCGCGTGACAAACCTGTGGGAGTTTTTCATGACACTACAGTACCCGGTTACAATGGCGAATGGTGACATGCGAGATGCAATGGAGCGGCCAGAAACTCTTCAGGCAGATTACTCACAACGTGCTACGCTGGCTTTTTGGGTGCTTCTGCATAGCGTGAGCGCGACGATTCAATTGCAACTGGATGCGTTCCAAGAGTCATACGGTCTGGCATTCGAAGCATGGGAGTACCTGATGGAGACTTACCAAGCGAAGGACTCGGTGGCAAAGGCGTCTCTCCAAAAGCAATTGGATAACCTGAAGATGGGGAGTCAAGAGAGAGTGGAGGAATATTTCAATCGGGCGACGGCAATCCGTGACAAATTAGCATTGGCGGGGAAGATGGTGGATGAAGACACGTTTACCTTGAACCTAATTACTGGACTGCTGCCGCATTGAGAGGAGCTGAGGCATTCGGCAATGTTGCATGACATCACGAACGGTTACACACTGCAGCCGATGATGATACAAGAACAGCGCTATCAAGACCTTATCTCCAATACCAACCGTGACCGACGTCCTCCCCGTACGGCTGGTCAGGCACATCGAGATAACTCACCATCAAAGGAGAGCACGTGGACCAAGGATGACCAGAATGTGGTGAAGTCAACCGGTGGGCAGCAAACAACAACTGGAGAGAGAGCTCGTGGCAATGATGGAAGGGGCGCACGCTCGGGTCTCGTGTGCTGGTATTGCAAGCAAACTGGCCATCCGTTTTACAAGTGTCCCTTGGCACCACCAGGATGGTCACCACCGGGATGGGAACCGCAAAACAGAGGGAGGATGAACCAGCGCACTGGGACCAACCGTTCAACCTCACCTCGAAGGAGTGGCAGCCCTAAACGTGACAACAATGCGACTACAAAGGAAGGGGCTGCCAGGGGAGACACAAAGCACACCGTCACTTGCATTGCAACGATTCGCTCAACGCAAGTGGCCTTATCAATGCATGAAGGTCACTTGTGGCTGCTGGACAACGGATGCAGCCAACACATGACCTCGGACCAGAGCTGGTTTGAGGGTTTAGAGGAGCTGGACGAACCTGTGTATGTTGAAATTGCTGATGGAAGCCAGCTGCTTAGCACGATGGTGGGAACCATTCGGGCAACAGCACCTGATGGGATAACGATTCGCTACACCGAAGTCCTCTATGTACCCGGGCTGAAGTCCAACCTCCTGTCATATTGTCAACTGCACAAGAAGGGAACACGGATTCATACACATGCTGACGGGCACACGGAGATTACCATGGCGGTTGGGGATGAGCATGTGAGGATTGGACTTGGAATGACCATGAGGATGCTGCATCGAATGACCATGGTCATGGAGGACTGACTGCACATTCTGCTCATGCATCCATCACATACCGCATGGCCCACAAGCGCTTGGGTCACCCCGCATACACATACATGGATGCAACATTTTGGAATGGTGATGTTGAAGGACTCTCCATATCCAACAAGACTAACCCTCTCAAACCCCCATGTGACTCATGTCTTCAAGGGAAGATGAGCAAGACCCCCTTTCCCACAGGAAGTACCAAGGGCACAACCCGACCTTTGGAGCTCGTGCATAGCGACATCATGGGTCTGGCTGATGCTCACCCCTCACTTCGCTATGTGCTGACGCTCAAGGACGACTACACCAACTACCTATGGGTGGCGCCGTTGGCTCGCCGGTCCAAAATGGCTGCAGTTTTCTTGGCTTGGCACCACGAGATAAAGACCAAGCTGCCCAAGAAGCCGCTGGCTGCCTTGCGCATGGACAACGGAGGGGAGTATACAGCAAATGCTTTCACGGATTACCTGAGTTCTCACGGCATCATCCATCAAACGTCCTTACCTCACACGCCACAGCCAGATGGAGTCTCCGAACGCGTTAACCGCACCGAACAGAACTTAGTTTCCCATTTGCTTGCATAATAGCAGGTCTTAACAACCAGAAGAGCTGCAAGCCTTGAATTCCCATTATTAGGAGTTGTAGATAAGCTGTAATCCCAAAACTTAGGCGATGCAATCCTGGAACCTTGGTAACTGCACACTAGAGACAGGTCAGCTGACAACTTCCATGACTTGACATTTCCCTGACGGAAGGTATTCCCATGAACTTGATAAGCGAAATCAATGTTCCCTTTGTGAACACAATGCTGATATCCACTTAAAGAGAAATTAAATTCAGGTAAGAAATTGAAGGACATTGAGCCTGCCGAAGCGCGGAGGAAATCCATGGCTGACATTGATCCTGTTAGCACTTGTGAACACCACACTCACTTGTCATCCTACGACCGCCACTCTCTCGGCTGCTCATCGACAAGTCAGGAAGTTGAGCACGTGGTATGGTGCATGCCCTGCTGCTCCTGGAGGAAAGCCAGGCACTGCTGATTGACCCCTTGCTCAGCCACACGCTGTGCCTCCTATCTCCAACTCCCTCCACCAGTGCGCACCCGCTGTGTCGTTCTGACTGCACCTGCCACAGCTCCTCCCGGGAGCTGGCGACCACTCGTCCCGGACAAGACGGAGGTTACCCTGCTCCCACTTATCAAATCACCTTCTCCACTGCAGGACCAGCAAAGGGAGGAACGGCATCCATCACGCCCAATCTTGCCTCAAGACCCCATAGTGTCAGTTGCGCAGCTAAGACAGCTGGCCGGCCAAGTAATACCTCAAGTACCGCACAACCGCACGGCATGGATGGGTGGGGTTATTCTTTGCAAGGGCTGTGAAAACCTACAGCTCATACGGTGCGCTTTTTTCCAAGTTTTTTTCCAAGGTTGCGCCACCCAGCTTCTCCATGCCGAGCCCAGGTATCGTGAGGCAGGAAGAAATGTCAGGCTCAGGCAGTAAGGGTGCTCACAGCTGTTCGAGCTTCTCCAGGCGACTGATGGCAGACGGCAGACTGCCACTCAGACGGTTGTTGGCGAGATAGCTGCAGGGGTGATATCACCGATCGTTGAGATGCATGGAAGATGAAAATAACTAGTGGAAAAGCGCAGGATGAGGGATAGTTGTGAGCGAGCAGACGAGAAGTGGGCACTCAGTGGAGTAGAGACATACGAGTGCTCAGAGGGCACTTGAGTTGAGCTCACAGGGAAGCTAGATTCGTCATGCTGAAGATGGCAGATGGAATGGAGCCATTCAGCTGGTTGTTGTTGAGGATGCTGCAGAGTGAGATGAGATGTGGGGAGCACAGGTGAGTAGATGCTATGGAGTGAAGAATGCGGGCATGCTCCCTAACTGCACCACAGGTTACAAGGAGGCGAAGGATAGAAATCAGGCACAAGGGATTATTACACATGCAGCGCAGTTGGATTGGATGTGTGGGTGCAAGCAGTGGTGGCTCACATGCTATTGAGGGAGGTGAGGGTGGAGATGGAGTCGGGAATGGGCCCTGTGAAGTTGTTGTGGTTGAGAGCCCTGCGCACCACCACATAACCGACAGCATGGGACACTGACACAGAGTTAGGGGTGATACTAGAAAGGTTTGGTAGATGTGAACTCAAAGCAATTTTCAAACAAACACTGTTGTAAATGTATATCTTATACAACATTCTAGGGATGAGCAGGGGGCGAACTCGAACATGTTCGAGTTCGCCTCCTCTGGAACATCGACTTCTGCCGAACCGAACAGTGTTCGGTTCGGCGAACGACTTGGACGAATATTGGTGTTCGTCGTTCGCCCTAGGAGGCGAACGAATTGCTGCAGCAGGCGAACACGAACATGTTCGCCTCGAACATGTTCGTGTTCGCCCAGGGGGATATTCGATATAGTCACACAGGTCAGACAGCGATTTTGACCTCTACAAGCTTAATCCCGTAGCTACCAACCCTTAGTGTTTCTGAAATTACCCTACACTATTAACTACTTAGACGAAATGTCCGTGTAAAAGTTAAGGAACGGTGTGTGATGGCTCTTAAAACCGCAAGGCTATGGCGGTTGTGGGAGGGAGGGCTAAGCGCCAAAGTCATTTTGAGTTTGAGCTCAAGAAATGAGCTCAAACTCAAAACGGCCGCGACCTAAATTTTGTCGCGGCCAATTTTGACGCGAACACTTTGGTGTTCGCCTGCCCCCCAAATCGAACACGAACGTGTTCGTGTTCGACTTTCCTTCGCCAAATGGAGGTGGCGAACGGCGAACATGTTCGACCGAACACCGAACATGTTCGCCCCGAACGAATTAGGCGAAAAAAAAAAATAGTTCGGTTCGCCTCGAACATGTTCGAGGCGAACCGAACAGGTGATCGAGATTTTGCTCAAGCCTATGTTCAACATTCATAGGCTAGAATAGGTGTAGTCATTAATGTTATTGGGGGGTTGGGTGTACACTCCAACCACACTTTGTGGTTGGTCAAGCTTGGGTTTGGTCATGGTCCTTGGTTGGCACTTCCCAACCTTTTGGTCCTTAGAACAATCAATCCCAACCTAGCTACATTGTGAGGTTGCTTGCTCAACAAGGCACCTCACCCATTGGCCAACTTAGTGGCCAATAGGGTTAGATCTCTTCCACTCTTCTCTTCTTGCATGCTTGTATTATAGAGCCTCTTGGCTCATAAGTAAAACACAATCTTAAGTTCTGACATGGTATCTTGAGCTCAATGGCTCACGCCTTCCTCCCTCGATCCTAGGCCACCCTCTCTTCCACGCCTCCTACACCTAGCCTCCCTCAAGGCGTTACCCTAGCGGACTCTATCTTAGATCCGCCCTCCCGTGGCTCAGATCCACCTACCCTATAGTATTTTTCACCGTTTGCACCTCATATCCGCCCTCCCGTGGCCCCAATCCGCCCTCCCGCAGACCCAATCTGCCCTCCCGCGGCCCCGATCCACTCTCCCACGGCAGCAACTCTCCTCCCCTTGCTTACCGCCGCACCTCCCCTTGCACCTCGCCGCGGACGGGCTGCACGCAGCTGTCACGGACGCCCCATTTGTTGCCCACGGACGACGACGAGGCCGCCGCGGACGGACGACGCGCACCCGCGGACGAGGGCGCCGCCGCGCACGGCCTGCGCGCCGACGCGGACGACCAGCGCGGAGCCGCGGCTGACCTGCTCACCGTCGTGGACGGCCTGACCGCGGTCGCCGCGACCTCCCCCACTTCACCCGCGCCTTCCGCGCCCTGTCTCGCCCTCCCGTGCCAGCCTCCTCCTTACCCCCTCCCCCTACGCCACTCTCAACGGCACCAGCAGCAGCACCTTCCACGGCACCAGCAGCGGCACCTTCAACGGCACCAGTAGCGGCACCTTCAACGGCACCAGCAGCGGCACCATCAACGGCACCAGCAGCGGCACCCTCAACGGCACCAGCAGCGGCACCAGCAGCGGCACCCTCAACGGCACCAGCAGCGGCACCATCACCGTCATCAGCAACGGGCACCTTCACCGGCGTCGCTGAAGAAAATGGATCAGTGAACTTATGGCACGATAGGAAGAAGAAATATCATTAGCAAGAAAATGGTACAAGTCTTAAAGACTAGAGCAAGGTCCATGTCCAAGGATGATCCCTAGTGAAGTGGGAAGCCACATATATGTGGCTGAACTCTTGAGGCTAGCTGCAGCACCTCAATGCTGAGGGCAAGGCTAGCCAACCTTGCCAAGCTAGCAAGTGAGGCGACATGTTGCACATGTGGGCCAGGCTGGATCAACAGCCCACATAACAGCATATGGCACACCATAGAGGCCAGTAAGGTGAGTGTGGGATGAGTGGACAGGTGGCAATGCCAACTGTGACTACACTTCACTGTGGTGGAGTGTGGTGGAGTGTGGACATGTAATGTGGAGCATAAGGAGAAGGGAAAGTGCAGCTGCTGAGAAATGAACCCACGACCTCTAAGGCTGAAGGTGAGAATCTACCCTCTGGGACATACTTGCTGCACAACAGTCGCCATCATGGCGTCGTCGGACTCGTCGGTCGACTTAGCGACCATCGACACTCTCGAGTTGTTGGGCGACAACTCGGCCGCCAATTGGCACTCCTATGCCCACTCCGTCGAGGTGTTGCTCTCCTCGGTCGTCGTCAGCGGATACACCCTTCGGTCCGTCGTGTTCCAGGAGGAGGGTGGAGCCAGTCGCCCCTCCTGCCCCCACCGGACCTGCTCCCGACAAGCCCGGACCCGAGCCCGAGTCTCCTGGTGACCCTCCCTCCTTCGCGCCGGATGTCAACAACCCGCAGAGCGTAAAGACCACCATCCGTGCTTACCGCACCACACTCAACGACCACCTTCGCCGGCAACTGCGCTATAAGGACGACAAGTGCACCTACGACGATGCTGCTGCCCGCTACCGCGAATACCAAGCCCAACTCGCCACCAACACCACACGCTTCGCCACCTACACCACTGACATCGCTGCGTGGCGCATTGCTGATCGTCGAGCTCTCGCCATTCTCCTCGCCACTATCCCCTCCTCCCTCAAACGAGAGCTCTTACCTACTTCCTCCTCCCGCCTGTGACAACTGCTCGTCGACCTCTTCGACAGATAGGACATCGCCACTCTCTATGCGCTCATCAAGGAATTCGGGTCCCTAACCATGGACTCCACCGCCGGCACAGCCGCCTTTATCCGCCGCGTCCTTTGCCATGGATTCCTCTAGTTTCGGGCACGGGATTTGTGGGAGCGGGAGGTGGAGAGGCGAGGGGGCCTTCGTCCCTCTGCGCCGGATTGCTGATGTTCCGTCTGCGCTGCCTCCGCCCGCTCTTCCAGTTCCTGCTGTCGCTCAGTCGACTGGACTGGCCCAAGTTCCCACGGCGACTCTCTCGCAGCTGTGGCGCTTGGTGGAGTGTCAGCAGGCCCTGACACTGATTCTGGTGAATTTGCATTTTGCCATTCTCCGAAGCCCAAGGAGCACTCTCGATCATCATGCGCGAGCTGATTCTTTGACGGCGGCCGCGCAGTTTGCTTTCCTCCTGCTACCCGTGCTGGCAGCGGCCGCGATGGGAGGCGTAGCGGTCTCGCAGCTGGACGAGACTGTCCAGGATCTGACAGGACACCTCCGCGAAGGAGGCGCTGTTGAAGCTGTCGGCGCGACCGCGTTAGTGGTCCGACAGCTGTGGAGGACCATGCGTGGAATCCTCGCGGTCCTTGATGCCCATCTGATGTAGTCTCTTGCACCTGCTGCCCGTAGACCCGCTGCATTTTACTTCTAGTAGTTGAGCGTGTAGGCCGACGTTGTCATGTCCTTTGTGTTTATTGTGTGTTCCGCATCTGATTCTTGCCGCCCAAAAGCACGCGGCCGCGGCCGCAGGCCGCCGGCGCGAGCGCCTACGTTTTCTACCACGAAATGAACTAATGAAGAAAGAAGGTCCCCACGGGGCTCTTATATAGCTAGGGATTGAGGGCAGAGGCAAAGGGCAGATCTTATATAGCTAGGAACTGAGGGCAGAGGCAGAGGGCAGAGGCTAAGTCCTCTCTCTCTCTCTTGCTCTCTCCGCCTACGTTTTCTACCACGAAATGAACTAATGAAGAAAGAAGGTCCCCACGGGGCTCTTATATAGCTAGGGACTGAGGGCACAGGCAGAGGGCAGAGGCTAAGTCCTCTCTCTCTCTCTCTCGCTGTCTCTCTCTCAGGGTCACTACCTCCAGCAAGTCTTGGACCGGTTTGAAATGGCGCGCGGCAACTCCAGCCCACTCCACTCTCGGTTGGGCACCACCTCTCCCCACCCTCCTCTCCCTCTGCCTCCTCCCATCCTTATCCTGAACTCATCGGCTCTCTCATGTACGCCATGGTCTCCACTCGCCCCAACCTTGCCTACCCCATCAGCGTCCTCGCTCGCTTCGTTGGCGCTGGCAAGCATACGGAAGAGCACTGGCAGGCCGCCAAGCGCGTCCATCGCTACATTCGTGGCACCAAGGACTATGTGCTTACCCTTGGCGGCCCTTCCCCGGCCCTCCTCAGCGGCTACACCGACTCTTCCTGGGCTGACTCTCGACCGGATCGGCGGTCCTCTCAGGGTTATGACTTCTCTCTGGGCAGCGGTCTCATCAGCCGGTGGTCCACACGCTCCTCTACCGTCGCCCTCTCCTCCTGCGAGGCAGAGCTCCACGCTGCAACCATGGCTGCGCAAGAGGCACGCTGGCTCACCTTCCTCCTTGATGAGCTTGGTGCCCCCCAATGCTGTCCCACCATCTGGTGTCACAACGCTAGCACCATTCACCTCACCAAGAATGCTGTGTATCATGGGCGCTCCAAACACATTGAGCTTCGCTATTTCTTCATTCGTGATCTCGTTGAGGCCGGGCACCTTCGCCTCGGCAAAATTGACTCGGCGGCCAACCTCGCTGACATCTTCACAAAAGCCCTTCCCCAAGGGTCTCACTCCTTCCTGCTACGTCTCCTTGGCCTCACCCCTCCTCTGATCTCTGCGGCCTCCTGGCTACATCTTCTAGCCTTATGCATGTTGGGGGGTTGTGTTGTAAATGTATATATTATACAGCATTCATAGGCTACAATAGGTGTAGTCATTAATGTTATTGGGGGGTTGGGTGTACACTCCAACCACACTTTGTGGTTGGTCAAGCTTGGGTTTGGTCATGGTCCTTGGTTGGCACTTCCCAACCTTTTGGTCCTTAGGACAACCAATCCCAATCTAGCTACATTGTGAGGTTGCTTGCTCAACAAGGCACCTCACCCATTGGCCAACTTAGTGGCCAATAGGGTTAGATCTCTTCCACTCTTCTCTTCTTGCATGCTTGTATTATAGAGCCTCTTGGCTCATTAGTAAAACACAATCTTAAGTTCTGACAAACACAGCCAAGCAACAACTCGCATCCTTCACGGTAACACAAGACCCCGCAACCCCTAACAAAAGGCTGTGCCAATTGTCACCAGACGAGTTAGCCCGTTGCAGTAACAGTTGCTTCGCCAGGCTGGCAATCTGGGGCAACCAGGTTGCCACTCCTTTGCAACAGCCCTCAAACTTAGCTTCCCAAAGAACTCCACCCGCAACTAACCCAGATTTTGCAACAGGATGGGTTCTACTCCTCTTTTTCCCCCGCCGTACACTTTGGTTCTCAGCAAAAGACCTGACTGTACGACAGTGCAGCAGCGCCGGTAAGAATTTCGAAAGAGCGGATGGGTGCTCGACTTCGACATCACTTCATATATGTGGTGACTGTCGGACCAGACGACTATCTGTACTGCACCGCCTCTTTCACCCACTTCACCAAGGAACTCCTCGACAGCACGTTCCAAGGCACCACGTTCCGCTCAGCAAAGTGTGTCGCCTGGTAGGGATGAGCAAGAGGCGATCACGAACGTGTTCGCGTTCGCCCCTGCACGAACACCGCCATTCGCAAACCGAGCACTGTTCGGTTCGCCGAACGCCTTAAGCAAAAAAAGGTGTTCGCCGTTCGCTTGTGAAGGCGAACACCTTGGTTTCGGAGGCGAACACGAACGTGTTCGTGGCAAACACGCTCGTGTTCGCTTTTGGGCATCCTCTGTTACGCTCGAAATACGCAACGGCGGGCAGGGGAATTGCGGGAAACTGGGGGAAAAAATATAGGCTGGATCTGGCTTGTGCTAGTTAGGGATCCATATTTTTGCATATCCAGCTCGCCACCTGGATTTCCCCTCCACGTAAGGCGAAATGCTATCCCCCCCCCAGATCTACGAAATTTGCGATTGCTCGCCACCGCCCCACAATCCCCCAACTTACGAAAAATGAGAACGCTATTCCTATCAATCCCCAACTTACGCAATTCGCGAGTGCTTTCCCCAAACCCATGCATACGAAATTTGCGAATGCTTACCCCCAACCCCCAACTTACGAGATTCTGCAGTATTCCTGTCTAATCCCTTCCCGACAACCTAAATCTCGCCTACCCAAGTCTAGTCAGACTAACCTAAGGTAACAATCTACTTACGCTAAGTCCTAATGAGGTGATAATGGCGTGATGTGTGGGGGCCGTGGTAGTGATGGCTGCTGCTGAATAGCGCGACTAAGTTTGAGCTCAAATTTGAGCTCAAACCGAATGTCCCACAACCTAAATTGTAGATCGCGGGACAGTCGCGACGAACACGTTCGTGTTCGTTTTTGCCCCAAAACGAACACGAACGTGTTCGTGTTCATCGCGGCTCGGCACCCACGACGAGACGAACACCGAACGTGTTCGGGCGAACACCGAACACGTTCGCCACGAACATTTTTAGCAAAAAAACAATCCTGTTCGGTTCGCCTCGAACTACCTTGCTCAACCCTATCGCCTAGTCCCGGATGCGATCGTTTGAGAGAGAACGAGAGAGAGAGAGAGAGAGAGAGAGAGAGAGAGAGAGAGAGAGAGAGAGAGAGAGAGATGGAGCCAGGGAGAGAGACGTACAGTCGTTCGAGGTTGACATGCCAGTGAGAGAAGTCAGGTAAATGCCCTGTGAAGCCGTTTCCTTCCAGGTTACTGCACAGTGGGCAGAGGGCAGAAGTCACAAGGCAGCATAGTAAGCAGCAGAGCAGATGTGGGACCTAGGAACATCACTTGAGCATAATGACAAGCAATGCGAGACAGAGTTGGTGCCACACACAGTGTTTTCAGAGAGTTGGAGGCCTTGAGAGACGTTGGAAGCCCCCCCGATAGGAAGTTGTTGGCCACTTGCCTGCAGCAGAGGGGTGAGGTGAGGGGGGGAAGGGGGCTACCATAATAAATAAGGTCAAATTTGCCTGCTAATAGCATGCATAGGAAGCCTAAGAATGCATGCTGGGGCCGCAGATGTGAAGGCAGGGAGCTAAAGGCAAGCAAGAAGCATGGAGGCAAGCGAGAAAAAATAATTGCAACAGGGTGTACTGAAGGCAACGGCAATAGGGGCACTCACAGTGAGTTGAGCAATGGGAGGTGGAAGAGGCCAGGTGGGATAAATCCCCGGAACATGTTGTCACTCAGATTACTGAAAACAGCAACCTCAACGGTGTGAGAGAGAGAGGACAGATGATCCACGAGATGCTAGTTGTGTATGACGGAACCTCAAGGCTAAAGACACGTCCACACACAACACGGTCGACTCTTCCTGTGTGATGATAAAAACCTCATTTATCCAGGTCCCACCCACCCCTTCTCCTACTCATGGCACTCCCATGGCTGTGTCAGTGTGTGTGCTTTGGCTGCAGCCTGCAGGTGACTTTTGAGGTGACTTCTGAGTCGACTCAAAAGTTGCACTCCCACGGCTGCATGTGTGTGTGCTTTGGCTGCAGGCTACAGGCAACAGGCAAGCAGGGTGCGACTCACATGTCCCACAGGTTGACAAGCTCGGTCAGCTGGTTTGGTATGAACCCGGTAAAACTGTTGTTGCTCAAATCCCTGCAGCAGTTGGCACGGCCACAGGAAGCGGCGACAATGTCAGCCCCATCTTAAGACGAGTTCTGAGGCACCTTAAAACTCAGTACACCCATCAGGCTCCTTTGAAAAAGGCATTGCCTTTGGGAAGGACGAGTTTCACATCCACAGAACAGAAAGCGCTGTGGCTTTGGAAGAAACAGTGCTCCAGTGTGCGTGTGCTTTCGTGATTCGAAGGAGCCTTTGACGGCCTCCTCAGATCAGGTGCTCCTCGTACAAAGTTTCGAGGCCTGTGTTGCTCAATAATGGCTCAGGGAAGGATCCCGTGAGGTGGTTGTTCTGGATGCTTCTGAAAGGCATCAGGAGATGGGGGTTAGGGGGTCGAACTAATGGGATGGGCTAACGCATACTTATGCACAAAGTCCTGGGAATACACATCATTGCATACATATGGCGGCACACTTCCAGAAGCGAATGCATGTACATATGCACCCCATCACAGATGGGAGAGTAGAAACACTCGTCTCCAACACCTTCGTAAGCCATCACATACACATACTCGTACCTGCAGGTGAGCATCCATGCATGCCAGTGCCACTGCCATGAATAAACCGATTTTTTTATAACTCCCTCCATTTTCATTTAATACTCTTGACTAGAATAGTACTTGCAAAGTGATGTTGAAAGATGGACACATACTCAGTCAGATAGCGGAATCTACCCCCCGCATCTACCGTTGGTATACTAGACAGGAAGGAAGAAATCGTTACGCAGCAACACAAACAGAGCATGACTCACATGAACAAGATTCATGATGGGAGTAGCAGCGAACTTGTGAGAAAACGCTTAGCAAAAGGATCGAAACTGTGAAACTTGTTCCCAGAAATTAAAAGAAATGATCTCAAAGCTTCCAAACCTCGAAAAACCTTTAATCGCAAACTAGTTTCGGCCAAACGGGACAAAACCCCGCTAAGCCTTTATCAGTGCTGCTTTCCAGGTTCACAAGAAAGAGAAGCCTCGGACAGAAGCTAGCTAAGTACCTGCTACTGCCCTCGAGATCAGCTAATTGTACACCAACTACCCAGATTACAAATCCAAGGCAATCGCCAACTCAGCAGGGGGGGTAAACCCAATGTGCATTGTCAGCCTTCACGAAATGTCTTCACCGACTTGATCGGTTCGGTAACCGCGCACGCACCAGTAACCTTTGTAGGTTACGTGAACACTTCCAAGCAGTTATAATTTTCTCCACAAAAAATCCGCGTGAACTGAGACGACTTTTGAGGCGCCTCAAAAGGACCCCCAGCCTGAGACGGGCTGTCAACGGGGTGAACAGGGTCTTCAAGACCAGGGGGGCGCGGGTGGGGGGAGAGATAAGTTTGAGTGCTTGGCGTGCAGCGGTTTCCTCCAGAAGGAGGCGTCGGTGTCGGAAGAAAACAGAACGGAAGATGGGCAGAAGGAAATCTCCAGGATAACCGCGAATTCTAAGCCGTTGGAAAAACGCGTGCTTAGAGGCGAGAAAAGACTGAGCAGATGTTGAGCGGAGAAGGTACCGCTTCAGTTCTGCCTTGATGTAGCCTATCTTGCAGTTTCGCGGGTGGAAAGAGGAAAAGGGGAGATAAAGGTATTGATTCATAGGTTTCTGAAACACCCTCAGATCCAGGATACCCTTCTCGGCAAACCTTGGTCCCTTGAAGATGACCATGTCAAGAAAGTCAGCCGATGAGTCTGAGACGTGCCACGTCAGCTTAATGTTGGGGTCGAGCTGGTTGAACATGTTCAAATAAGCCTCCAGCTCATCCCGTGATCCAGGCCAAACGATCAAGCCGTCGTCAATGTATCTAACGTGGCACAAAGGTTCTGTCCCAGTCCATCTCCTCCTCAGTACCTCATCCAAACAGCTCATGAAAAGCACGGCAAAACAAACAGCTGCAGGAGTTCCCATAGCCGTGCCTTGCCGTTGAAGAAATAGTTGGCCGTCGAACTCCACATAGGAGTTCATCATCACCCACTCCAGCAGGGCGATAATCGGGAGGTAGCTCGGGTGTCTCCCACTCTGTAACATGCTGCTAACTGCGTCGATGCCTCGCCTTAAAGGAATGTTGGGGTAAAGCGAAGTAACGTCGTAGGTGGCCAGGAAGATCCCTTTCGAGAAGGCAGTTTCTTCCAGCTTCATAAGCAGCGAGAGTGAGTCGCAGAGGTATGTCTGCTGTCGCAACACCCACGGCCGTAATTCTGCATCCAACCAGCGGCTAACACTAGAGGTAACCCAAGAGTGCGAGGCAGCGATCGGTCGCCCCACGAGCTCCTTTTTATGCAGCTTCGGTAAGATGTAGAATGCCGCGGGCTTCCAACCCCCAGGCGGTTCGTGAAAGAAAAACTTCCAAAGCGTCTCGGGAAAAGCAGGGCCCCAAACGCTTTTCAGATCACGTAGTTTCCGCACGACTTCGACGGTTGGATTATGCAGAACAGGAGAGTAGGTGGCGCTGTCACCGAGGTGTTCCATGCACAACCGTACGTAATGATCCCTGTCTAAGACGGTAATCCCCACGTTCTTGTCGGCGGGCTTGATAACTACTTCTCGATCTGTAGCGATGGCGCGCAAAGCCTTACGTACACCTAACGAGATGTTTCGGTGCCGATCAGGCCTAGATGACTTCAACAGGAAAGATAAGTCCGAGGACGAATCTGTGAAGTCCTGCTCCGGAATAACTATCCGATCAGGTAGCCAACTCGGGTTCCTAACTCGAAAGCGCGAATCCCTCGTCAAACTATCTGCATCCTTGAAGAAGAAGTGTAATGAGATCTGTCGAAAGAGCTGATCGAGCTCAATTCCAGTCGAAAGGGAAACGGAGGGCGTGGGGATGAACTTCAAACCCAACCCCAGTGCCTTTTTCTCATCCGGGGACAAGATCTTGGCACTGAGGTTGTGAACTTCGCGGTTACGGACGCGTAACTCAATCTGACGCAGCGTCATGCGCCCGAACCAGCGGAGAGCCAGCTCATGGCTGGTTAGTTCTTCTTGGGCGGCCCTTTGTCGGGGCCGCCTCCGCCGTTTTTTGGTCCCTTGGCCGCGGCCGTCTTGCCTTGGCCTCCCATCTGCTTGTCGGTGTCGGTGCCGGAATTCTGCTGTTTCTTCTTTTTACCACCACGCTTCCTCCTCGGCTTCGGTCCCGCGGTAGTAACAGCAACCTGCTTCCCCGTAGGATTCTTCTTCTTTGGATCAGCAGCAGCGGCCCGCGTCGATTCCTGTACCTTAAGAGAAAGATCCTTCAGAAGCTTTTTCGATAGGCTGGCTTCAAGCTTCGCCGAAATTTGCTTGCTCTGTCGTTCCAACTCCCGGATCGTAATGTCGTCCTTGGCGGTAGCAATCTCAGACTGCGCCAGAACAATACTGCGTCCCTTGAGCAGTCGAAACTTCTCCTTGGCGGTATCTGAAACCACCAAGTCGGGATCTGAGCTTAGGCGCTTGATGTAGTCTTCCATTCGCGTCGCCAGAGTCGGGACAAGAGCAGTGACTGAACGCTGAATCTCCTCAACCTCTAATGCTTTAGCGGCGATGAACTCCGTCTGCAGCCGTTTCTGATTCTTCAAATGTACTTCAGCCACGGCCGCTGTAGATTTCTCTTTCACGGAGTCGAACTTAGTCTGGAATTCGACTGCCTTAGTACGGAGGCTGTGCAGAATCGTGCCTTGGCCGTCGAGCTCCTTCATCTTCTTCAGCTTGCTCTTCGCCTTAAGCAAATTCTTGAAACCGTCGCGGAATTTTTTCACCGTTTCAGAAACCCATCCTCTGAACGGATCGGGGATTGGTGAATCATCAACAGGTTCCGCCATGTCGCAAGGACGGCTTCCAGAAGGTCCAGTGGGAGGTGGTTCAGATTGCTTGCTTCGTAGCGCAGGTTCGAGGGTTAATGCCAGTGGCGGAATCTTGCTGCAGGTCGGATGTTGGCCGGAGGTCTTCTTGTCAGACCGCGCTTTATTCCCACTCCCTCGAGATCGCTTAGCAGAGCTGCGTAACTCCAGTTCGGCTTCCTCCTCCAACGAAAAGCATTCAATAGCCCAAGGATCAAGATTCATGATGGGAGTAGCAGCGAACTTGTGAGAAAACGCTTAGCAAAAGGATCGAAACTGTGAAACTTGTTCCCATAAATTAAAAGAAATGATATCAAAGCTTCCAAACCTCGAAAAACCTTTAATCGCAAACTAGTTTCGGCCAAACGGGACAAAGCCCCGCTAAGCCTTCATCAGTGCTGCTTTCCAGGTTCACAAGAAAGAGAAGCCTCGGACAGAAGCTAGCTAAGTACCTGCTACTGCCCTCGAGATCAGCTAATTGTACACCAACTACCCAGATTACAAATCCAAGGCAATCGCCAACTCAGCAGGGGGGGTAAACCCAATGTGCATTGTCAGCCTTCACGAAATGTCTTCACCGACTTGATCGGTTCGGTAACCGCGCACGCACCAGTAACCTTTGTAGGTTACGTGAACACTTCCAAGCAGTTATAATTTTCTCCACAAAAAATCCGCGTGAACTGAGACGACTTTTGAGGCGCCTCATGAGGCGCCTCAAAAGTAGCAACACAAACAGAGCATGACTCACATGAACATGAGGCCTTTGATAGCAGAAAAGGACACGGGTAGCACACCGGAGAAGTTGTTTGTATAGAGTTTTCTGTGCGGATTGGATTGTATGGGGATAGGGCAGCTAAACTTGAAGAGTGGCGACACATGAAGAAGAGCCACAGCAGCTAAGCAGGGAGGGAATGGGGAGAAACGTGAAGGCAGGTGGCCGAAAGCGAGCGAGCGACTGTGCTCACATGTCTGTGAGCCATGTCATCTGAGCAACCACGTCCAGGCCTGAGCTGAGGCCGTTGTTGTACATGTTCCTGTGGTGTGGTGTGGCGTGGGTTTGAGCACGAGCACACGGCAGAAGGGAATTAGCACGAAACACGGACAGAAATTGGGTTGGCAAGGACAGGGAGATAAGTGAGTGCAGAGCAATGGGCATGCCGAATTACACCAACGTTGCGTTGCCCGTCATAGAGCCACGGTACAATGGCAAGAAGGCAAAGCAGTAGATAGCGTTTAAGTGAAGGGTGTCTGTCTATACAGGGATGCCATGGCGGTGAGTCTGGTGAAGGTATGGGGAATGCCTCCTGTGAACTGATTACTGAACAGCTCCCTGCAGCCACGGCGATGGCACCGAGGAAGAGGGGAGGAGAAAGGGAGGAAGAGGGGAACAAGAGGGGACGCCAACGCAAGCACATCTATCAGAGAGTATATGGCTCAGCTGGACAGCTATATACTGACAGTACAAATTCAGAGTACAGTTAAGAAGGGAGGGTTGGGTGGGAATACAGATACAAATGCAAGGGATGCTAGTGAGACGTGGGGAGGGAGGGAGGGAGGTGCATGCAGCCATGTATGCCACTTCATGGTGGGCGGGAGGTGGGCTCACAGCTGGACCAAGCTAGGCAGTGCGAGATGCGGCGAGATGGGTCCGGAAAAGCTATTGTAGCTGAGGATTCTGATTGAGGCAAGGCGGGTGGAGTGGAGATGGATCAGGGGTGACTCATGAGCCAAGGTGAGCTTCCTTCCATGCGCCCATGAGCCACGAGAGCACCACAGTGGATGGGTCCGAAAATGCGGAGAAAACGGGGCATAACAGGGGGTGACGAGGGGGGGGGAGGAGAGGGGGGGGGGGTGTGCCAGCGGAGCAAAAGGGAGGAGGGTCAATAGAGGGACGGCGGAGAGACATTGACAGAAGAAGAATCTGAAAAGGAGTGAAGAAAGGCAGGCAAGAAGGTGAAAGAGAGAGAGAGAGAGAGAGATTGCGAGTGGTGGAGGGAGACAGGCATACATTGCCTGGATGTTGCTGTTGAAGATTTGAGGCAGCGAGCCGGAAAGGTAATTCAATGAGAGGTCCCTGCAGATGAGAGGGAGGAGCACAAGTAAAGCAGAGCCATGTCTTATCGACAGACGGTTTCTTCCAGCCGAAGGAGGCAGGACTGGTGGTTATTCAGGGAGGCGAAGCCAGAAAGGGGGGAGATAGGGAGGAAGGGGGGGGACTGGGGATTGGGTGGGTTGGACAGCGGGTTACAACGACAGAACCGCGTACTACCAGATAGGACATGTACAGTTCAGCGAGGGCTGTCAGCGCAGAGTATGCTCCAGGGATGGTGCCTTGCAGATGGTTCGAGCTCAGATCCCTGCAAGTGAAGTGACGTGCAGGGGAGAACATTGCATTCCAAGACAGGGAAACACGGGCCGATGTTGGCCGTTTGCAGTCACACTTGTAGAAGGCAGAAGATAGACTCTTGTTGGCGCATTGCTGTTTCACTCTTCAGCTCGATAGTCAACTTTCCCACACAGGGAGGGAGGGAAGGTTCGTGAGGAAGGAAGTGCCTCACAGAATAGCCAGATTCACAAGTGTGGAGAAGCCTTTGGGCAGCGCGCCTTCCAGGTTGTTACCCGAGAGGGACCTGCAGAGTAATGGAAGGGGGAAGGCAAGGTAATGGATGCATGTACACCAATGTGGCATTGGACAGTGCAACGAGGTATGAGAGACTGTGCAACAAGGTATGAGAGACTGTGCAACAAGGTATGAGAGACTGTGCAACAAGGTATGAGAGACTGTGCAACAAGGTATGAGAGACTGTGCAACAAGGTATGAGAGACTGTGCAACAAGGTATGTGAGACTGTGCAACAAGGTATGAGAGACTGTGCAACAAGGTATGAGAGACTGTGCAACGATGAGTCTGTGCTGTGTCACTGTGCACACTCACAGTCGAGTGAGTGCTGTCAACTCTGAAAGGCCTTCTGGCAGCACTCCCTGCCTCCGTGGCTCGTCGTTGATCACTCGCCTGCTCACACGCACACAGCGGGGAGGGCAGGGCTGTTCGGCGCAAAGTGCACGCCGAACTGCGGTGTGGTTTTCCAGTCAACGTGCAAGTCAGCTCCATGGCCCGTCGGTGCTCACACGGCTGCTCACAAGCGCAGGGCAGGAAGGCCTGGTCAGTGACATGGCAGGAAGGCCTGTGACAGGAAAGGCTGTTAGCACAAAGTGCACACCAGAAGAACAGAGCACGGAGAAGAATGGGGAATAACAGAGCAGGAGAATAGGCAAGCATAAGAAATCTAGGAGCTGCAGACTCACAGGGACTGGAGATTGGACATCTGAGTGACCCAGTCTGGGAAATCCACATCACGGAGAAGTATGAGGTCCCTGCAGGGATGGGGGCAAGGGAAGACGAAAAGGGATGTGGGAGCTTGCTGTGCTGGTGGTGTGTGCGAGCGAGCTGAATTGGCGGCCTAAGAGCAGCAAGAAGTTGCAGCAGTACACGGTACACCTATCTCGGTGCAATGCCAATTGCACATGCGGAAGTCGGTCGGACATTGTGTTGTGTTCAGCTTACAGGGTAGTGAGGGCCGTCAAGTATCGAATCTCCCTGGGTATCTCCCCTGTCACATTGCTGAGACCAATGAGCGATCTGCAAACCGTGCGCATGCAAACAGCACATGGCAAAGTCAGACGGTGCACCTGTCACCTGACAGCTGGGTCCGATGGTGATCGATAAAATAACAAACACTTTTGGAAAGAAAACACATGTGATGTGACAACACTTTGAGTGTCAAGGGAGCTGTTCCTGGTTGCTCTCAGAGTACACAATATTTCAGGCACCTAAAAAAACGAGTCCTTTCTGGGTGGGTGCTCTGAAAGTAGACTCACAGGTGTTGGAGGCCGTGGAGGTGGGAGAGCAGTGCAAAGGAGGTCAGCTCCCCTGTGAACTCTGACAAGCCAGACAACCGCCTGGTGATGGCGAGGTGGTGAGGTGAGGCAGTGGGACGTGACAGAAGGGAGGAGGTGGTGGAGACTGTGAGAGAATTACAGCCACAACAGAGCATGCATGCAGCACTGTAAGACGTAACTGTAAGAGGGAATGTAGCTGCTGCGGAACTCCTGGATAGGTGTTGAGTCTTTGCTGCAAGGCATACTGTAAGAAGAGATCGCCTCGCTATTCTTCTGTTCAGGCGAGAATGCTTTAGTCATGAGCATGATATTTGTCTCGATGCACGCACCCCTGCACCTCACCTCCTCCCCTCTTCCCCACCATCACCTGCCCATGTCACCCGAGTTAACTCGATACTCGCTAACCAACTCAGGGCGATAAAGCTGGCGTGGACTGGCAGCAGTTGGGAGTCCCCTCCGCAGCACAGCACTGCTCCATGAGCCAGGTCGCAGCCAGGTCCAGAATCCAGATGTCCCGTCCCATCCCAGTGGCCACGGTGGGCAAGTCATGAAAATGCCGGCCCAGAGCCGGCCGGCTTTGTCGGCGAGCTGACCGACACGGGCCTGCACAATCCGAAAATAGCCCAGCCTGGTTGCTAGGCCGTGGCTGCTCAGGCGAGAACCAACCCCCCAGGGCAGATCATGTGCCAGAATCTCCAGATACACCAGCCCGACCCACCCTCGAGTCAGGCCGGCCCATGTTGAGGCTGGCTGGCCGGTGCTCGTGCCCATCATGTGACGGCGGGTGGACGGCATCGCTTCATGTGACGAGCTCCGATTAGACATGAGCACAAGGGCGAACACCTGTTCGGTTCGCCTCGAACGTGTTCGAGGCGAACCGAACAGGTTTGTTTTTTTTGCTTAAATTGTTCGCCGAACAGTGTTCGATGTTCGCCCGAACACGTTCGTGTTCGGGCCGCTGCTACAATTTGCCCCGCGACGAACACGAACGTGTTCGAGGTTCGCCCGAACATGCCTTCACAGGCGAACGGCGAACACGTGTTTTTGCTTAAAGTGTTCGCCGAACCGAACACTGTTCGGTTCGGCAAACGGATGTGTTCGTCTAGGGGCGAACACGAACATGTTCGTGTTCGCCCCTTGCTCATCCCTAGCTCCGATCATGGTGGTGCTGCCGATGCCATTTAAAAACTCAATCCGGGCCTTGGAGAAACGATGATGGAAAAGTGTTGCGAGGCAGAGTTTTTTTAGGCTCGAGCAAAAAGGGATGGACAGAAGGTTTTGAATTAGAACCAGGAATGAACTAGTTTCGACATTGAGAAGCCTTCGTCAGCATCTGTCCTCCACATACTCGCCAAGACATTGGGCCCCATGCCCGTTCTCCGCCCACTGGGCAGGGCAGGCGTGGAGGACAGGGGAATTGAAAGGGCAGGGCTTACAATGAGTGCAGGGCGGAGAGGGAGGAGAGCCACGAGAGTTGGTCCACAGTGCCGGTGAGCAAGCAGCCGTCTGCTCCCAGGGCGCTGCAGGGAGCGATGCACACAGGCAGGGGGGTGGGGCATGTGCAGGGGGGCGTGTGCAGGGGGGTGGGGCATGTGCAAGGGGGTGGGGCATGTGCAGGGGGCAATGCGGCCCATACAGTGGGATGGGGCATGTGCAGGGGGCAACGACAAGCTCGATTGATTGAGTGAAAAGCAGGAGCTTGTATCGAAGTCCTGGAAGGAAGGACAGACCAGAAGAACATGACGGTTCCGTGGTCACATGTAGTGCGGGAGAGCGGGAGGGGCGGTGATAGGCTTGAGCAAAATCGCGAACGGGGGTATTTTTTTTGCAAAAAGCGTTCGTGACAAACGCCCCCCGTTCGCCACGAACGCGTTCGCGAGGTTCGTCGAGTTCGCGGGAAATAAGGCGAACACGAGCGCGTTCGCGTTTGACGCGAACTCGACGGGTTCGCGTCATAACCAGCGCGTCAAATTTGACGCGCTGGAGTTCTAGTTAGGCAGGAGATCAACTTTTGAATTCCGCTTTGAGCTGAGATGTTGACATTTACGATTCCTATAGCCTCCATGACCACACCCGCGTTAGATGCAGCTGCTTTAGACCATTTCGTACTAGGTTAGATAGTTCGTCCGCTAAGTTCTTAGGCAGGAGTGAGGTGAGTTAGGTCTTGCGCGTGGGGAATAGGTTATGCGTGCATGCAGCAGTACGGAAGTAAGACAGTGACTGGGTTTGTTTGGTGCATTGCAGTTATGTGGGTTTTGGGTGGGGTGAACTGCTTGGGCAACATTTTCGAAATTAGTGCGGACAAAAACAAGTCGCAACAATTCGAATCCCAACTGTGAAACGCGAAATGTAGCGAAATGTCACAGCACTGTAATGAGTCAGATCCACGGATCATCCCTCGAACTCGAACTAGTTCGACGTTCGAGGCAAACACTTAGGGGTTCGTGACAAACCCTAAGTGTTCGCCTGTGAACACAACACATGAACACCTGTTTTGAGAAAAGGCGTTCGTGGCAAACCGAACGGGTTTGGTTCGCCTATGGTAAGTGTTCGTCGGGGTTCGTGGCAAACACGTTAGAGTTCGCAATTTGCTCATGTCTACGGTGAGGGGCAGTGAGGGGCGGCGATGAGGGGCTATGTGGGGATGGGAGGTGTGTTTCTTGTGATGGGAGAGGAGAGGGTGTGAGACGTACAGGTGGGTGAGGCGGGTGAGAGATGAGAGGGATGGCATGGCGCCCACCAGGTTGATGCCGTACGTCAGGTCTCTGCAGGGAGACAAACAGGGGGGGAGAAGGGGGGGGACGAGGAAAGGTGGCACTGTTTTGGTTGAAGTCAGGGCGGTTTAGATAGTGGGGGTAAGGGGGGTGCTGCAAACAAGTAGGCAGAATGAGGGAGAGTAGGAGGGCGGAAAAGTACATGGTGTGGCAAAGGTTGAGACATGAGGCAGGTTGTATAAAGAGGGGCATGAGGATAAACAGGGGCACAGGGGAGGGGCAGGGAAAAAGGAAAACATGGTGCAGGCGGGATGAGAGGAAGAGGGAGTGGGAGAGGGAAGCGCGGACGGACAGGTATTGAAGGGTGGCGAGGTCAGTGATGGCAGCAGGAATGGTGCCAGTGGGAGGAGGATCCACGGTAAAGGCCTTGGAGTCCCTGCCAGGGAACACACACACATGTGCGCTCACACACACGTGCGCTCACACACACGTGCACTCACACACACGTGCACTCAGACACACGTCACACGTGCACTCACGCACACACGTGCATGCATACACACACGTGCACACATGCACTCACAGGCGCAAGCAAATGCCACACATATGCACATGTGACGGCGCTCGGACATACACACGCTCATGCGCGCACGCACGAACACTCACAAATATCCATGTGCATCCATGCATATACAGTGACCAGCAACAGAAGGATTGAAGAAAGGGACAGCACAGCATTCAGCCTTTCGGTTGTCCACCCCATGGCGATTCCCCTTCGTTTTTCCAGACCCCCAGCACAGGATGTTTGGATTTCGAGTTGGATACACACGTCTTCAGTGCACGTGCGGGTGCTCAGTGCTGTAAAAGAACACCCCGTGGTTTATTCCTGTGACGCACACGGCAGCAACACCCTGCCTGCCCTTGGGCCCGCGCGCGTGCGACTCACAGGGCAAGGACGGCTCCGTTGCGACTCACAGGGCAAGGACGGCTCCGTTGCGACTCACAGGGCAAGGACGGTTCCGTTGCGACTCACAGGGCAAGGACGGCTCCGTTGCGACTCACAGGGCAAGGACGGCTCCGTTGCGACAAGGGCAAGGACGGCTCCGTTGCGACTCACAGGGCAAGGACGGCTCCGTTGCGACTCACAGGGCAAGGATGGCTCCGTTGCGACTCACAGGGCAAGGACGGCTCCGTTGCGACTCACAGGGCAAGGACGGCTCCGTTGCGACAAGGGCAAGGACGGCTCCGTTGCGACTCACAGGGCAAGGACGGCTCCGTTGCGACTCACAGGGCAAGGACGGCTCCGTTGGGGCTGCAGGTGACGCCAGCCCACGCAGAGCACGCCGTGGTAGCGTTGCTGTTGCCCGCCCACACGCTCCACGCCTCCTGCAGCTGCACCAGCGCGCGCACTGCCTCCTCGCAAGAAACGGGCAATAGGGACGAGAAATGGGGGCACTGGGGACTCAAATGGATGCCCTATGGATAGGTAGCGCGCACGCAGCATGCTATATTACGTCTCGTGACCCCCTGGGTCAAAACGAGGGTCTTATTTAGGCGCAGCGGAATGCCCTTAACACAGCCCACAGGCGTTACGCGCTAAGCTTTGCCACGGCACTGGCACCCTCAGCGTCGCCAGCGCCGCACGACTACTCACAGTGCGACGGTTGCAGGACGGGGCCTGCCGTCCTGCCGACCGCATTAACGCCGGCAGCGCCGGCGGCTGTCGCGGCGGGGTGGCGCCGCATCAGCGCGCGATGAGCGAGAGCCTCGGTTTGAACCGCGGGAGTCGCCAGTTGGTGTGGCGGCGGCTTCCGCAGCGGGGAAAAACGTGGATGCGGCGGCGGCAGGGGATGCGCGGCGCGGAAAGCGCTGCAGCTGGCGGCGGCATTGGCAGAATTAATGAGTGCTAGAAGAGCCGAGAGGAGAAGGCTTGTGACTGCTGCGGAAATTGCAAGAAGGCGCCTCACTGCCCACCGTGGCATCGGAGTGGGATTCATTAGTCTTAGTAGGCGGGACACGACACATGAAGGTCTTTCGATGTGGTCACTTCCTGGTGGATGCGCGTGGTGTCCTGCTGATTACGAGTTTTTCGCGAATTTCCGCGACATTCACGTGTGATTAACTTCGAGAAGGCTTGGATTTATAAACCTTGCTTTTTATTCTTATCAATTGGCATCGTTCTCAAATAGCTGTTTACAACATTTGCATCACAATTGAACACAAGCTAGTGCATGCTCATATCACTAGCTACGATATACCCTATCCAAGGGGCATGCGCGAAACGATTTACGCTGGGGTGGGTGGTGGAAATGTTGAGTGAGCCGTTTGAAAATAGAGAAACGTGGGTGGAGGGGAATGAGCTCCAACCCATGGTTTTTGTATTTGGAGAAGGGCGTTTAGCACACTTCGACGATGCGAATTGTGCAATACAAGCACCTTCGCTTCCACAATACACAATTTTAAAAAACACTATGTGTGTTTAAAATTTACAATATTGAGAAAGCTTGCTTTCTTATTACTATCAATTGGCATCGTTCTCATTACAAATGGGGTCTCTGAGACATAGGCAGCGGGGGCCTCCGGTTACGTACGAGTGCCTCTGTGTGTTGTGCCGAAGTCACCGCATACGTCGGATCTTGTAGGTTGCGGGAGACTTTGATGAGAGGCACGACGCATGGCGTGACATACATTTCCTTTGCTGTGTCGCTTCGCCATCTGCCCAGCCGTTTGAAGACTCTATCTGGCACTCTAGTGTTGGCTGCTACTGTGGCTGCGCCTTTTCGGAAAGAATGAGTGCCGAGCTGCAGCTCGCCAAGGCCAACCTTTGCGAAGGCTTCCTTGCACCAGTTGCGGATTGTAGTGTATGAAGGTGGCCTCGCCTGACCTTTGCTAGTTGAAGCATGGCCGAAGACGCGAATCAACGGTCCTTCTGACTGAGGGCCATAGCCGGCGAGTTGGATGAAGCGTCGGGTACAGCGCAATGGGCAACAGGGGTCCGCTGTTGCTGCAATGGGAATCCATGTGCCATGACCGGCCTGATCAGTCTTGGAGTGTGGTATGAGGATCCACATGACCTCTTCGTCGAATTGAATGTCTTGCCACTTTATGGCCACTAGGTCGGAGTATTGCAGAAATCCTGAATACATGAGGATGGGGATTAACCCTTTCTGGAATTCCGCAGGGTCGTCGGACCGCAGGTAACTTTCGGCCATGTCTCGGACTTGTTAGATCGATACGGGTTCCTTCAGACGAGTAGGGCGAGGGCAATGTCGTTTTGCACAATCATGCACTTGGGTGGTGAATGGTCCGATTGTCGAGCATTTGCTCCCAATCATGCGATGGGCGAAGCTGACTGCCGAGCACGTCAGCTGCACTACAGACAGGGTGGCTTTACGTCGGATTGCGTGTACCAGGTATAGTGCGAGGGTCATGTCAGAAGCTGGAAGAAATAGAAGATGCACAAATGTGCAAAAGGCTCGAAACTTGGCCCAGTATTGTTCGTATGTCCGGATCGTAAAGTCAGCGCAGGATTGTGCAAGCATGTTAATCAGTTGGTCGTGTAACTTCGAGAGCAAATCTGAACACAGGCGCATGCATGAATTAGTAAAAAACCACTCGTAGTGCAATGATTGGGCTGTGCGATAGTCCCGTGCCCAAGAAGGCAGTGGAATGGGACCCTACATCTAGGCATTGGCTTCCGTGTGTCAGAGGGATGTGCGCGTGGTGTCAAACATTATATATGTTTCTGTTGTGTAGGCTACAGTGGGTTAGCCTTTAGGGGGTACATTTCACTAAGGTTTCCTAGTTGTACTCCAACAACTTTCTAGTTCATCACTTCTTGTTTTTGACATGGTATTAAGAGCTTAGGTTCTAGACCTAAGGGCCCACCGTTCCGCTAGAGGTGCCCTCGTGCGCCCCCCCCCCCTTTTTTTAGCGCCCTCGTGCGCCTCTCCCCTAGTGCGCCCTCGTGCGCTCTCCTCTCACGCTGCCCGTGTGCAGCCCGCTAGCAGCCCGAGCGCGGCCCCGCCGTTTTAGCGCGCGCGTAGGAAATCCGCCGCCTAGGGCGGCCCGATTTTTTTTTTTCTCGCGAGCCCCAGCAGGCCGTCGCCCGTAGGCCCCGCTCGCCCCTAGGCCGACGCGCGACCCACAGCCGCCCGCCCGCAGGTCGCAGCCAGCGCGCCGCGGCGATCGCGCGTCGGCTGCTGGAGCTCGCGCTTAGCCGCTGCTAGAACGCAGCCGCGACCCGCGCGCAGCCGCACCCTAGGCGCCGCCGCGCACCGAGCATAGGCCCGCCGTCGCGCCGCCATACCCACCCGAGCCGCGCCGCCCGAGTCGCGCCGCCAGAGTCGCGCCGCCCGAGTCGCGCCGCCCTGACCGAGCCGCGCCGCCCTTCCTGCAGCAACTGCTCTTCCTGCTCCTACTACTACTACTGTTGCTACTGCTAGTGCTGCTACTGCTAGTGCTGCTACTGCTACTACTGCTACTGCTACTGCTACTCCTGCTACTGCCACTATGGCCAGTCCCACTGTTCTCTCCTTTGACGCCGAGGGCCGCCCGATTAAGTTCGATGTCTGGCTTGATGACCTTCACCTGTACCTCCAGATCACTGCCAAGGACGATGTTTCCCTCTATGACCACACGTCCGGCGCTGCTCCCGCACCTCCCAGTACTGCTGACAGTACTGCTCGCTCCCAGTGGCAGACCCGTGATGCTCACGCTCGCCTAGCCGTTCGCAGCCACCTGCCGTTAGATGAGCGCGAGCACTTCGGCCAGCATAAGACCGCTAAGGAGCTGTACGACGCAGTAGTCGCACGCTACTCCTCCCCTGCCACTGCTGCTATAGGCCGTCTCTCACTGCCCTATCTCTTCCCCGACCTGTCCGCGTTTGCCACTGTAGCTGACCTCATCACCCACCTCCGTACCAGTGACCTCCGCTACCCTGCCGCGCTCCCCCCCGATTTCCTCGCCAAGAACCCCCCCCCCGATGTACCTCACACTGTACCACCTTGTCACCCGCCTCCCTGACTCCCTTCGCACTGTCAGGGACCCGTTTCTCGCCCTCTCCCCCACTGACCTCACTGTCGACCTCCTCGAGAAGGAACTCCTAGCAGCTGAGAAGAGCATTGTAGCTGTAGGTGCTTCTCGTGGTGACCCCCGCACCCCCTTCTTTGAGGGGTGCTCCCCCTCCCCCCTCCTCCCCTCCATTGCATCTGCTGCTGCTGTCGGCTACCTCGGAGCTGAGGGGGTCGGGGCCGCGTCTTCTCCTAGTGGGAGGCGCAAGGGCGGCAGGGGCAAGGGGGGCAGGGGTGGTGGAGGTGGAGGCGGGGGCGGCGGCGGTGGAGGGGGTGGGGGGGGCGGGGGTGGTGGCGGAGGTGGGAGTGGCGCGGGTGGTTGGGGGGTCAGTGGCGGCACAGGGGGTGGTGGCGGCGGCGGCGGTGGTGGGGGTGGTGGGGGTGGTGGGGGCGGTGGTGGCAGTGGTGGCGGCGGTGGAGCGGGTGGCGGGCGCGGTGGGGCGGTGCAGCGTGGGGGGTTCGGCGGTGGCCAGAGGCACCAGCAGCAGCGTCCCGGCGAGACTCCCTCGCCCCAGCAGCTCCGTGAGTGGTACTCTCAGCGTGGGGGGTCTGGGGGTGGAGGTACCTGTCCGTATGTCATCCGCACAGGTGACCGCACTGGCCAGACTTGTGGGAAGTTTCACACGGCGCAGCGTTGTTTCTTTCGCCTCGACGACGCCTGGCGCGGGCAGTTCCCTGACGCCTCTGAGCTGCCCCGCTGGGCTGATCTGCTTAGGAAGGGGATTGATATCTTTGCTCTTGATTATGATGCTATCCTTGCTGCTATGTATGCATTGACTATTAGTGCTGAGGGTGACTGTTACCTGAGTGTACCGCCCGACCCGGGTATTGGGACCTGTGAGGCTGTAGCTCTAGGTGCTAGCGCGACTGCTGCTCTAGGTCCTGGTGAGGCTGCTGCCCTAGGTGCTAGTGCGTCTACGTCTGCTGGTACCGCACCTACTGAGGCACTGCACACCTTCACACTGGACTCAGGTGCTTCCCGCTGTTTCTTCCGCAACCGCACTGCCCTAGAGCAGCTCCCTAGACCGGTTGCTGTCTCCCTGGCCGACCCCTCAGAGGGTCCGGTCCTTGCGACCTCCACCACTGCCCTCCCTTGTCGTGCTGTCCCGTCTGGCACGCTGTCGGGCCTCTACCTCCCCTCGTTCTCTACGAACTTGGTGGCGGGTTCCGCGCTCCAGGACGCGGGTGTTCACCAGTTCACCCCGGCCTACGAGCGTGTGACGCACTACACGTGCGCCCGGACGGGTCGTCACCTGGCTACCTTCACTCGGCAGCCGGGGTCGGACTTGTACACACTGACCACTGAGTCCCCTCAGGTAGCTGCGTCTGCGTCTGCGTCACGTCAGCTGTCGCCCCCCTGCTCGTGTCGCTCTCTGTCACACAAGACTGTTCTCTGGCACCACCGCCTTGGTCACCCGTCAGTGCAGCGCCT